TTTAGGCACTCCTTTAAGAGTGTCATCAACTGCTGAATCGAGAAACCGTACATGTTTATTGCTCCTTCGTGTTGTATAAGGAGCTCGTTTATGGCTTGCATAGCGGAGTCATTCGACACGTTCGTATAGAGGGCAGTGACGTCGAAGGACTCCACCACGTACGCCCTGTTGGGTCGCGCGTTACGTAGACGATCCAGGAACATTTGGGTGTTCGTTAGATGGGCTGGAATGTACTTCGACAACTGAGTAAGTATTAGGGTTATTAACCACGTTATTCTATCTGTTGGCCTGTCCACGCAGCTAATGATAGGTCTAACCTTAAATAGCGATGGATCGGTAGACACGACATCATCGCTGGATACTAACTTATGGGTTTTGATAAGTAAGTACAGGACGGGAAATGTTGGTAAGTCGATTTTGAGATGAGAAATAACTGATGGTTTTAACCCGGCCGCTCCTGCCACTTTAACCCATTCGTTGTTTAACTTTCGGTATTGACTTTTAAATTCCTTCTCAGACGACTGACGATAAAGGGAAGCATCTTCAAGGTGCTTTTCCGTTATCTCAACATCTAACTGATGGGGAATTACAACGAACTCTCCACCCTTATCACTAACCGATAGTCTTATGTTTTTTGATCTTATCAGCTCTCGTACCTCCCGCATACCACGTTTTTGTATTTCAGTGAGGTTGGAGCAGTATCTTTTAGCGTGATAGTGATTAAGGACTTTGAAAGTTTCATTCGTAAACATCCGAAATTTAACATCAACTTCATTAATGGGCTCCTGTTGTCTAAAGAACGGTTGAGGAAATGGCGGCACTGGTATCGCCCCTACTCTTTGTTGTTCGCGCCTATTTTGCGCATCATCCCTTCCTTTTTTGCGGAGTCTATCTTGAAGTTCATGTAAGCTACATGCGACCCTACGCAAGGTTACCTTAGAAATGGGTTCAGATGATGAGAAACTCGGTCCCAATTCTAATAACGAGCGCGCACCGTCAGAGAGGGTTATGCCTCCTGCCACGCTCAACCTTGAATTTCTTTGCACATTATTTATCTTATTGTGAATCGTTTGATCCTCGTAGATCTTCGTTTGATCTTTGATTTTGTTACTTTTAATTTTAACTGTCTAACTTATCACTTTGTGATAACCAATTTGCCACTTTTATGCTCCGCTTTGTTGCAAGCAACACCTTGCCAACCATTCGTGCTAAGTTTAAAAAACTTTAGAGTTTAGAGCCTTTTTAGTAAGTTGCTAGCAAACTTATTTGTTTTAGAGAGGAGTACCACAAGGAGCAAATGAGCAAGGCCGAGCTAGCTCACGAACTTCAGGTGCTGAAGGAACAATACGAAAAAGTTAGTGAAATGCGTTGTCATGTGCAAATTTCGAACTCACTTCTTTGTTTCGCCACTGGTTTCAAGTATGAACTTTATTTTTCATCCCATAGCCAGCAATTACTTATTGTCAGGCAAATTCTGACCTGGACACCATAGAAGGCTTAGATCCCAACGAAGCAGCCCGAAAGCTACAGCAACTACAACAACAGTTTGTTGGAGGAGAATTGGTATCGATTTCTTGAATTTTCTTCTGGAAAGCTGAAATTTTTAAATCTTGTGACGTGAGCTGTAGTCGATGGATATGAACTCGAAAAGAATTCTTTCATGAGTATTAAAACTTTAGAGAAAAACATAGAAAGGGAGGAAAAACGTCCAAAATGTTATAGGCGGATAATGAACAACTGAAACAAAAAAGAACGAAAAAACTTAAGGACGCTGAGATAAAGATGCAGCGATTAGCAGGTGAGTTGGAGATTATTATTGTCGTCACCACTGTCGTTAATTGTTTGTCAATTGGTTTATTAATTCTTATTACGCGTTACCTTGTATTTTGCGATTCATAGCACTTCTTTCGCCTGTTCCTTGTCTACCATCCATTATCGACGGTGTTCAGAATTATGGGTGGATTATGTGGCGCAGTAAGGGTTTCGTCTTCTTCTTGAGTGTCGTTGAATGCTGGCTAGTAATCTTCTTGGGCTTTTCTCATGATAACCACAAGTAGTAGTCATGCTTCATGGGTCGCAGGGAGTTTTTCCCAACAAGTCTGGTACCACTTGTGCCATTATTGCTCGACAGTGTTTCTTTGATTTGTCCTCAAATGTCGTGAACGTCCCTACACTTTCTGTTTTCGGTGTGTTGTTTTGCAACTGTCATTCATACAGATAACGGAGTTTATACGAAGTTTCAGCAACGGATCGAGAAAATATCGTCGCTTTTTCTTATATACTTGTACCTCGCTTCTATCATTGTTGCTCTTATAATCTCGAGCAGATAGTGTTAGCCCGTTCCAAAGTACAATTAGTCAACAGAGCTATAGATAACGGCGCAATAGGCCATTGCATGTTATTGTTATAGTTCTTCGCAAAACGCTAGGTTTTCTATGATTTCTGGGACGCCATTTTTTATAACGTCGTACGGGGTTTGTGAAAAGCTGTATCGCTTTAGGATAATGGCGATATTCATGGTTCAAAAGTTTTTACGTAGTGTGAGTTAATTTCATGATAAACGAGTTCTACGAGATTCTCCTTCGTCTACACACTGTCCCTTGGTATTTTGTTAGAAAAAATGGTTAAAAGGAGCCCGAAACTCTAAGCAGAACCTCTGACGAAGCTTATAATCCTTGGTAAGATTTCGACACAGTCTATGCAGGAAAATGATTTTTGGATTACATGATTAAGTGGTGGAAGGTTATCATAATTTCGATAGATTTCACTACATCCCATTTCGATTTCACATTCGGGTTCGACTTCATTACGATATTTGATTTCATGGTAATCTCGACAGAAAGACCTTCATCTTAAAAAGCATGGAAAGCTCCTTCAGCAACACCAGACTGTATAGTAATGTTTCCCTACCATGATCGGAGAGATATGGCGTGATAAATAATTGAACTAAAGATCGAAATAACTGTTGAATAAGGTAGTAAAGCAACGTGATTACATGCCACGTACGAGTACAATGTAATGGAGAAGAAAGCGAGTAAGAAACGAGGACCAGTAACAGTAAAGTCAGCATTTATGCTACCTAATACTCTGTGAGTATGCGTGTGGCGCAGTGGTCGGAGGCGCCCTACAACACACACGTGGAATCGATCCCCACACCCATGGCCCACCGAGCCCACCATCCTTCCGGGTGGGGAAATTGGTACCAAACTTGTCTGGGAGGATGGCAGTACTGGCTAGATACATCGGTAGACCACCATGCTAAACGACGCTTAATGAAGTCGAATGCATGGCGCATCCCTCAGGGGTTGATCAACGCCGAAAGCTTATCCTTTTGATATTCTGTGACATTTATTTAAAAATAAGATAAAAAGAGAACTTTTTAGCAGCCCTGAACGTGCATCGGGATGATCCGCTTCTACAAGTGTACAGTTCAACACAAGAAAAGCTCGACGCCGTCACCTCTGAATTGCAACGTGAAAAAAATCGGGTAAACTAACAAATTTATTTTTTTTCAGGCAATAGCTCTGCTCATTCAAAATTGTCCTTTTCTTTTTACAGCCTTTTTACACTCTTTTATTCGCTTTCCGCTTTCTTCAGCAGAATGCATCTGCAGAAAAATCAGCTCAGCTCTCACTAGAGCGTTCCATTCTATAGTGGCCGTTCGATAGAATCTTCTGTTCGTTGATAATCAAATTTCTGTTTGTTCTTTTCCAGAAGAAAGAAAATACAATAAGGGCGACAGGTTTTCAAACGCTTATTTAGAATACTTTCTTATTTTTTTTAAAGATTATCGTTCGTATGGTGTGCGAAAATTCCCGCTTGCGAGTACGAGAAGAAAACTCCTGTAATGGTTAGATCGATCGATGCAAGCTGACGGCTGTTTGGTGTAGAATTATGTCTGGAAATTAGCTGTTTTTCTTCAAAAAGCAAGCAAGACGCTAGCATTATAGAATGTATTAGCATGCAACAGCAGAAGATTTTGCGGTTTCCCCTTCAGCAAGGCTTGGAAGGGTCGAAATTGCATGCAATCTATTCGGTTAAACACTTTCATAAACTCAGCAGAAAAGATTTAGCAATTTTCTTCCTAAGGCTACTTTATCATTTGACCTAATAGAATCACAAATCAAAATTTTTCTTCCCACGCTGCTTCCTAAACACCGGCGACTACATGATGTACGAGGCCTAGCAAACGACAGGCAACAAGTACTGGTCTTCGAAACGCGACTACTACGCCCCTATCGTTGGTGCAAGCAAGGAAACATGTACGCGCAACTGAAGATATGCAAGTCCAAACAATCTTATTGTTTCCAGTACCTGGAGGATTATCTTTGGAGGTGAATAATAGGTGGGTCAATTTTAATTTGCGATTCTATTAGATCAAAAGCTAAAGTAACCTTAAGCAAGAAATTGTTAAGTCTTACCTGCTAAGGTTATGAAAGTGTTTGACTGAGCACATTGCACCCCAATTCAACCTTTTCAGGTTTTGAAGAAAGTAAAACCACCGAAACGGTGGCTGTTCTATCCTAATAAATTTCGTGATAGCACCTCGTGTTTGCTGATCGAAGAAAAACAGCGAATTATCAATCAACGCTGAAGTTAGTAGGACGTCGGCTTTGGGAATTGCTACATGACATGCCTGGAAAACTTTTGAAAACAAATGAACGTACAAATTTGTGCGTAGAAATTGATAAAAAACGCTTCTGACAGCTTGCAAAAAATATTAAGGTCTGATTGTTTTATAAGGAAATTTGGTAAATAGTTGAAAAGCTGAGAGACTGGATGAATTGTTCGAAAGAAGAAATTCAAGTCCTAAGAAGTTTCCGAGAGAGATGGAGTTCAGGTGTAACGATGAAGTGAAACATCTTGTACAGGATTTGAATATTTTTTGGAAGTTTATTTCGATTTCATGGTTTGGTCTCGGTTTTGTTCACAGGCGAATGCTCTGGAAAGCGAAGTTGAGGATTTACAAGGAGAATTCGAACTTGATCGACTCGACTATCTGGATACGATTAGAAAACAAGACCAGCAGCTAAAACTCCTAACGCAGATCCTTGAGAAAATACAGCCGTCAATAAGAAAAGTAAGAATTGATATTGTTAAAAACTACTGATTCACTTTATCACCAATTTTTATTATCAAAGTACCATTTGACCACCAAAAATCGCCTAGGACTCCAATTACTACAATATCGAAAAAGTGAAAAAAGACTCAATATGGAATGAGGATGAAGGACGTTGGATTCTGCCAGAAATGAGCACCTCGCGAACTGTGCTACCGGCAACACACAATGGTATCAATTAAACATTCAACGTTTTCAAAATGTGCCTTGAACGTGAACGTAAAAAAGTGTAGATAGTAAAGGTACAAATAGAAATAAAGGATAAAACTATCAATTCTAGTGCACGACAATGGATATTTTAACTTTTAGAAATATTTTTACATAGCATAGGCCATGAACATCTAGGTGAACTTACGAAATCCGCATAAAGTTTTTTTTTCTTCCATACAAAAGCACACATACAACACGACAATAGCTGATCCTACGCAACATGCCCTTAGAAATAGAGTGTGTTAGTAGGATAAGTGGACCTAATTCTAGTTGCCAGTGCACCGTTAGGAAGCGTCTTGTCTCCTCACGGTGACGCTTAACATTTCTGGCACATTATTGAACTTAAATACGTCGTTTGCTTTCCCAGGAATAGCGAGGTTGTTATACTATACACGTTTACTTCCGTATAGAAATCCAGTGCGGAAGCTAAGAGAAAGTCTGTCCAGGAAATTTTATAAACTTTCTTTATAATCCTCATTAAAATTGATCTTTATCATGATCTTTATTTTATAACAATCCTTATTATAATTCATTGCATAATTTTATTTTTAATCAAATACCGAGGTTAGTAGGAAGTCAGTCCTTGGAACAGTTTGTTTTTTCACGAATTTATAACATCGTTTTATTATTGTCACGAGTGCTGCCCTTCTAGTAAAGTAAAGATGTAGTGTCTTAACAAATGCTGCTTGTTTTGCTATTTACTTAATTATTTGTCTATTATTCTCCACACAGTGCCTATTTTTCACTTTCTACATCACCAAATATTTGCTGAGGGCAATAGAACTGTGATATAATCTGTTAACCAATTAATGAGGTCTCATTGGCAGGAATCACTTCAACTAACAAACCTGAGCCTATGCCCCGTAGTTCATACGACGATGAGAGTTCTAAACTTAGACGTGTGAGTTTTTATCGAATTTTTATCAATATATGACATGACTATTGATCCCAATGTTGCGCTTTTAATGGATTTTGAATGCTTTATAAATCCAGCCTTTTCTTCCGTCTTCTTTTTTCTTAAGGTTCGAAATGATCGAATAGCCAGTTTCACACTAAACATTTTTTTCATTTCCTTATCTTCAAGCTTTTCGCGTTGACGCCTAATTTCACGTCGGTTGCTGACTTACCGATTTTCTGAAAGCGGACCATAATTTTTTAAAAACTAGAAAGCTTGAGGATTTAGCAACATGACAGGATTGTAGAGGAGACTTTGCTCTATAGTTGTTTCGGTATGATTGGCAAGTGTGCTAGTATTTACCTTTGTGTTACTATGATCCACCTCGCGGACACATCTTTGTGAGCAATTAGAAAGATTTTGCAGCTTATGTTCGGTCTATTTCATCATTTCTGCACCCGAACTTCTCAAACAATAAGCATGCTTTATAACAGCGTTTAAAATGAGATAACAGTTAATTGTTAGTCAAACTACCAATCTACGAGCTTCCGATTGTAGGATTTCTGTAAATCATTAGGTGTAGAAATGGCTTTTCTGCCCTTTCCCTACTTTTCTCGTACACACTGAGAATATAATGAACATATAACTTTGGAGCCCATTGAACTGAAAATGGGTACTATAGTGTTCATAGCGTCACGAATGGGTTAAGATTTTTTGAAAATGCGTGCTTAGGTACCCTGTCTCAACGAATCGTGGGTAATTCAACACAGTTTCTTGTTGAAATATATTCTATAGGTTCGCGAAGGAGATATTTTTCTGATCTTAGTCGACCATGTCAGTGCTAAACTCCTTGATTGCGCATCATAATTCTACACTTAGAAATATTACGCATTGTACCAGTGAAACTACAAACGGTCAAGTTCTCTGAAATTTACTTTTAATTTTAGAAACTTGCTAAAAGCGAAGAAGAAGATATTGCTAACAACTATTTTAAACCAATTCGGCAGGCTAATGTGCTCAATAAGTATCAAGGCGACCACACAAGGACTTTAGGTATGCCATCAAGTTTTTCATCTGATATTTCTGTTCAGCCTTGGCATTTTCCTTTCTTGTACCTTTACTTGGATACTTGGGTGGCCCATCTTCACTGGTTGTGCGAGCTCCCTCGAGCATAAATTCCATTCTCCGGATATTTGCTGGTTTAAGCATTGTGGTTTCCTGGATTTTGGACATTTGTACTCTAGATATTTTCCCATGACCGACTTTCTGTTAACCTCGGCATTAATTGATAATTCAATGTTTTTCATCAATAAGCAGACACGAGGTTGTTAATATAGAATTTATTAGAACACAATTGCTGACGTTTCGGCGGTTTCGCCTTCTTCAGAGCCTGGAAAGGTCAAATTGAGATGCGATCTACTCAGCCAAACACTTTCATAACCCTAGCAGATAAAACTTGATAAATCGATTTGTGTTCGCATAAGAAACAGCTTCATTCAAACACCTACCGTTTATTTGTCGTAAGTATTTAAGTTAGTTGGTGGATAGCCGCCGCACAGAGTAATACATGGTCGATAACTGGGTCCATGTCAGATCATTGGATCAGCCTGAGGTATGGCGCTAGGTCACGCGTGATGACAAGACACTCCTCCAGCAAGGAGGTATTTTGTCCCAATGGTAAAGACGGTGATTGCATGAGTTCGGGTACAGTCTATCTGATCTCTTGTAAAGCGTGCGGGC